TTCTATTTTTCATATGTGGTTATTCTGCATACTTGGATCAGTGTTTTTGTGATCATTGTTGCATATAAATATATATATATATATATATATATATATATATATATATATATATATATATATATATATATATATATATATATATATATATATATATATATATATTGTTGTAGTTTTCAGTTGCATATTGTCCTGGGGACCATTCAGGCTTGTTCGCATATATATATATATATATATATATATATATATATATATGTCGTACCTAATAGCCAGAACGCACTTCTCAGCCTACTATGCAAGGCACGATTTGCCTAATAAGCCAAGTTTTCATGAATTAATATATTTTCTCTAATTTTTTGCTTATGAAATGATAAAGCTACCCATTTCATTATGTATGAGGTCAATTTTTTTTATTGGAGTTAAAATTGATGTAGATATATGACCGAACCTAACCAACCCTACCTAACCTAACCTAACCTATCTTTATAGGTTAGGTTAGGTTAGGTAGCCGAAAAAGTTAGGTTAGGTTAGGTTAGGTAGGTTAGGTAGTCGAAAAACAATTAATTCAAGAAAACTTGGCTTATTAGGCAAATTGGGCCTTGCATAGTAGGCTGAGAAGTACGTTCTGGCTACTAGGTACGACATATATATATATATATATATATATATATGTCGTACCTAGTAGCCAGAACTCACTTTTTGGCCTACTATTCAAGGCCCGATTTGCCTAATAAGCCAAGTTTTCCTGAATTAATATATTTTTTCTAATTTTTTTCTTATGAAATGATAAAGCTACCCATTTCATTATGTATGAGGTCAATTTTTTTTTATTGGAGTTAAAATTAACGTAGATATATGACCGAACCTAACCAACCCTACCTAACCTAACCTAACCTATCTTTATAGGTTAGGTTTGGTTAGGTAGCCGAAAAAGTTAGGTTAGGTTAGGTTAGGTAGGTTAGGTAGTCGAAAAACAATTAATTCATGAAAACTTGGCTTACTAGGCAAATTTGGCCTTGCATAGTAGGCTGAGAAGTGAGTTCTGGCTACTAGGTACGACATATATATATATATATATATATATATATATATATATATATATATATATATATATATATATATATATATATATATATATATATATATATTACACACACACACAAGTTTCTTGAATATCTTCATTCAGATATATCTTCAAAATCCAGCTGGATAAAATCATCAGGACAAATTGGGGGCCTTTGACAAGCCGACGGCTTCTCCTCCTCGTCGAGGCTACGAGAGAGATATGGTGGCCCTCTGGCAAATTTAACGAATAACCGCGTATCTTTTCTTTGAACGTGACGTCACAAGATGGCGTCTATTGACAAACACTTTCACAGTTTTGGCGGGAAATGTCACGTGATAACCTAGTGTAAACAAACCGCAGCGAAGGGTATCAGCTGATCTTTTAATGTTGTTGGTTAGACCTTGAAACGCCAAGGTTTCTGTTCCTTCCGAGATCATCAATATGCTTTCAGATCCTCGGGGAATATTTTACTCGTCGTGGGAAGACGGAAAACAGGTGTGGTTGATATAAGAAAATTTCATGTGTCCATTTCTCAGTTGGAGTTGGGGCAACTTTTTTGCCTGGCGCTCTCAGGTTGCACAGCTGCCTTAATAATAATTTTTTTTTATACGGGTAGCATGAATAAAATGTATGTATGTATGTATGTATGTATATGTATGTATATGTGTGTGTGTGTGTGTGTGTGTGTGTGTGTGTGTGTGTGTGTGTGTGTGTGTGCTCACCTATTTGTGCTTGCGGGGGTTGAGCTTTGGCTCTTTGGTCCCGCCTCTCAACTGTCAATCAACTGGTGTACAGATTCCTGAGCCTACTGGGCTCTATCATATCTACATTTAAAACTGTGTATGGAGTCTGCATCCACCACATCACTGCCTAATGCATTCCATCCGTTAACTACTCTGACACTGAAAAAGTTCCTTCTAACGTCTCTGTGGCTCATGTGGGTGTGTGTGTGTGTGTGTGTGTGTGTACTCACCTAATTGTACTCACCTAATTGTGCTTGCGGGGGTTGAGCTCTGGCTCTTTGGTCCCGCCTCTCAACCGTCAATCAACTGGTGTACAGATTCCTGAGCCTATTGGGCTCTATCATATCTACATTTGAAACTGTGAATGGAGTCAGCCTCCACCACATCACTTCCTAATGCATTCCATTTGCACTGTGTGTGTGTGTGTGTGTGTGTGTGTGTGTGTGTGTGTGTGTGTGTGTGTGTGTGTGTGTGTGTGTGTGTGTGTGTGTGTGTGTGTTTGCGAGCGCGTTTACCTATTGGGTGCCTGCAGGATCGATCTTGCGTGTGTGTGTACGTGCGTAGGCTCGCTTATCCGTGTGTGTAGTTGACACGGAATCAATGATCAGTTAACGGGGGTGAGAATAGCTTGAGCCACCTCATCCCTTCGTGTGTATTTATACCTCAATAAACTTATTTGAATTTGAATGATCAGTTCCCGAGGCCGTCACCATTAATTGGCTAATATGCTATAGTTTCCTGACCAGCCCGACCAAATTACAAATTACGTCGCTTTTCGCTCGTATGCGCTACGGCCAAAAAAAAAGGCCGTAATTTAAAAATGAAAATAAATTGAATTTTTTTATTTTATTTTTGTTTTCCAAAACAGCAAGTTTTTTATTTTCATTTTCCATAACAGCAAGTTTGTTTTATTTTTTTTTTCCAAAACAACAATTTTTTTATTTTTTTTTCCATAACAAGAAGTTAAGGAGCCTCAGGTAGGTTAGGAGGGCAGGAAGTTCTGCTAAGAAGGTTTCAAAACGTCACGAAAACTGTTAACTGAAAGTATCCTCTCCTAACCTAACAGACTAAGCCAGCGGACCCCAAACAGAAAACGGGACAGTAGGTGCGTCACTTCCGTGAACCGATTCCATTTTAAATTACGTCCTTTTTTGTTTAGCCTGTCCCTGTTACCTAGAAGTAAATAGGTACCTGGGAGTTAGTCAGCTGTCACGGGCTGCTTCCTGGGGGTGGAGGCCTGGTCGAGGACCGGGCCTCGGGGACACTTAACAGCCCCGAAATCATCTCAAGATAACCTCAAGATAGCCTGAGTGCGCAAACGAGCGAAAAGCGACGTAATTTAGAAGAGGACGGGGTTGTCCTAACAGCTTCCTTACTCTCAGGCACTTCTCGAGTCCATTCAAGGCACCAGTCACACCTCCTTTACTCCACAACTACCTACTTGCTTTCCTTAGAAGCTACTTAGTATAAATTTGTGTCCCCCGGGGTCTCCTTACGACCCCCGTCACTCTTTATCTGCGAACCTTGTCTATAGTCCCCCTCTGTATTTTATACATCGTGGCCATGTCTCCCCTTTGTTATTATCTAATTCATCTCTCCCCATTCCTTTCCAAATTCAGCCTCTTATCCATTTTTCAATTCCAAATTCGATGACCAAGAACAGTTACCTGCCACTCAACGGTATTCCTCCACAGCGGCGAAACTATCATTTGAAGCAACAGAACGCGCTATAGCTATCTTCCGCAACATCAGAACGCGGTGAAGCTATCCTGCGCAGCGAGAGAACGCGGTGAAGCTATCCTGCGCAGCGAGAGAACGCGGTGAAACTATTCTCTGCAGCAACAGAACGTGATGGCGCTATCCTACACAGCAACAGAACGCGGTGACGCTATCGCACGCAACAGAAGAAAGTGGTCAAGTTATCCTCCCTCAGCAAGGGAACGCATTCCAACTCCTTCGACTTAATAACCCATAAAGATAAGGAACTAGTAATGAACACTATTTACCAGCCGTCGTTTTCCAGACCAAACCAACAGAATCTTACAGGCGTTGATGTGGAAATGTTGCAAAGGTACACCCGCCCCAGAAACGATGCATTTGCTATCGTTGTCATGTCATCTGACGAACACAGGTGTCGTTTGGGAGTATCTGGCAAGCACAGGGATCGCTCAAGACACCCGGCAAGCACAGGCATCGCTCAAGACACCTGTCAAGCACAGGGATCGCTCAAGTCACCCGGCAAGCACAGGCATCGCTCAAGTCACCCGGCAAGCACAGGGATCGCTCAAGACACCTGTCAAGCACAGGGATCGCTCAAGACACCCGGCAAGCACAGGGATCGCTCAAGACACCCGGCAAGCACAGGGATCGCTCAAGTCACCCGGCAAGCACAGGGATCGCTCAAGTCACCCGGCAAGCACAGGCATCGCTCAAGACACCCGGCAAGCACAGGGATCGCTCAAGTCACCCGGCAAGCACAGGGATCGCTCAAGTCACCCGGCAAGCACAGGCATCGCTCAAGACACCCGGCAAGCACAGGCATCGCTCAAGGGCACGTGACAAGCACAGGGATCGCTCAAAGGCACGTGGCAAGCACAGGTAACGTCCGCCTGCATATTCATACAAGTTAAACAGAATCTCAAGTCGGTAAATCATTTCATTTTCAGAGTTGAACGCCGAGCCAAGTTTCGCTTCGCTCGAAACTTCGCTTCCAAGTTTTTTGGAAGATTTTACCTTTTTTTTTCTTTTTTTTTTTTTACTGGACGACGTAATAACGTGGACAAAACTAACCAAAATTGTTTAAGTTCCGCTAATATTAATGTAGAATTTTTACTGTTTTTTTTTAATCTCAATCATCTTTATTATATAACTAGAGAGGAGCGGGGGGGGGGGGGCGCCCGGCGTTGCTCGGGTGACGGAAGCCTTGTCACTGTAACCATCTTCGCTACACATTATTTTCGTCACTGTAATCATCTTCACCGTATTGTTTATCACCCTCCCTGCCCATCCTCACCTTCCCTACCCTTCACCACCTTCCCTACCTTTCACCACCTCCCCTACCCTTCACCACCTTCCCTACCCTTCACCACCTCCCCTACCCTTCACCACCTTCCCTACCCATCACCACCTTACCTACCCATCACCACCTCCCCTACCCTTCACCACCTTCCCTACCCTTCACCACCTCCCCTACC